CAAATCTAATTCTGGTATGGAGAATTAGAAACCTCTTTCAATCCTGGACATGTCAATGGGAAACATGAGAAACCCTTCTCATGTAACTCATGTTTCAAAGCGGCCAGGAAACTCCAGCTCTGTGAACCACTTCCCAAATCAACTTGTTACTTACCTTATTTCTCAGGTATCTAGAAGAGCTTTTAATATCAGCATTCAGATGTGAAACGTGAATCAATTTTTCAACTCCAGCTTCCTTGGACACCTGAGCAATTGCTTGGGGAATCTTCACAAAAACATCCTCAAAATCATAGTTTCTGGAAGAAAAAAGAGGGAGGAGGATCACCTAAGAACACCTAACTCGAGATTTCAAAGCTTTTTATCTCAAGCTGGTTTTCATACTGCTGCTGAAATTCATAATAGCTAAACTTTTAAACAGCAATGATTTAACCCAAAATCGAAAAAAAATCTTTTTTCACTGTTCACTATTATTACTGTACATAATTCAAGCCTTACTATAAGTTACAAAGCAGCATGTGTAATATTCTGTGTTCTCAAGGAATCCCTAGGCTGAGGTACTTGAAAAACATCTGACTGCACTGTCTGCACTTATGAGTTGGGATGAAGTTAGTGCTGGGACTGGAAGGAAAATTACTACTTATGTGGGGCCTTTGTTTCCCTCAGGGGGAAAGGAAAAAACTAAAAAGTCAGTCACCAATTTAATCCAACATTAACTAAAGGCTTACTCTGTTTAAGGCACTGTGTTAGTCACTAAGGAGGATATAAAGGTGACTAATACCCTCATCAAAGAACTTAAGAACATTTGATGAGGCAGACATATATGAATAAATCTAAGTCACACTTTAATAAATGCTACAAAAAAGGTGTGAATAAAGTGGTGGGGAACTACAGGAGTCAAACATTATTTGTTGATAAAGGACTCATGCAAAGGCTAAAAAGAACTGTTCAAAGCAGTACTCATGCCACCTTCAATTAACAATGTGAAGAACAGATTCAGGACATTGTCCACACTGGAAAACCAATGTCCATCTTGCTGAACAGTGAAATACAAAAATTCTCCTACTTAATCCCATCCCAGCTGGACAGATACAAGCACAGGACCAATACCTGTCATCGTGTCAAACTGATGACACCAACCACACTGACACAATCTATATGGGCTTTTTTTATGGGCAGCATATCACACTCCTTATCTTACCTATACTAAACTTATGCAACTAAATCCCTGGGGCCAGGGGGGTGGGGAGCAGTCACTAGGTAAGTAAATGGTGGGTATGTAAATGGTTGTTCAACCAATGCTTATTGATGGACTAATTAAAAATGTCACCACTACAATACCTAACGTATAGATGGTACCCTATAAATGTCTACTGAACCTTAAGACAGCTTGTGCAAAGAAGAAATGAGTCAAAGACTTACTTGGTTTCCCAGTCTCTCCCAACAAGATTGATGACCACATTGCTGTGCTCTACTGCTCTTCGGATAGAATCTTTGTTTCTCCCATTCCATTCCTATAACAGCAATAGTCAATCGGATAAAAAACTAAAGGGTGCACCATAGCATGTAACACTTTTGTAGGGGCTCACCCCCACTCTTTTGGAGACAGAGAGTTGAAAGTACATGTTATTCAGGTAATCAAATGATAAAACTAGTAACGACACTATTCGTTTTTAATGGGACATATCAATTTTTGTCTACCCAACTGCCGCAAGTCTATAAAGGAATCCAGTAATCAAGTCTCCCTTTCTGAAATATAGTCAAAGAACCAAGGATCATCTGGGAGGTAAAGTGACTTTCCCTTTTTAGCAGCAAGCAGTTACAGATTAAAGACAGGAGGGTCTCCTAAAGGCTAACAATAAATTGAGAGCATATAACCATTTACTTATTTCTTTTTAACTCTTTCCTCTTTATAACCCCAGATCTAGTCACTTCTACTTTAAAGACATGAAAACAACATTCAGAAAGAAGTGACCTGCCTAAAACTTCAGGGTGAGCCAATGGCAGATTTCGGTGTAGAACTATACTTTTGAGTATCATTTAGGACTTAGGTCAGATTCATGATCCTTATCCAAAAGAGTGACTGGGGTTAAGTAACCCCAGACAAAGGTACAGGGTTTTCTATGTTAAAATAAAATGGAATTTTTAAAGTATTTCAGTGGAAGATAATAAGAATTTCATAGGGTCAAATACTAAGTATATAGTATGAGTGAATGGAGTGGAAGGGAGAGTGAGAGAGGAAGAAAGAAGGGACAAGAGAAAGTAGGGGAGGGGAAAAAGGGAGGGAAGGAATGAGGGCAGGAGTGGGGGAGAGCATGCAAGTGCGAGTGGGTGTGAGCGTGAGTGTGGACACACAAGTGAGCATGAGTGAGCATACTCAAATGCCTGTGTAATTTCGAAAAGACCATTTGTATGATCTCTCCAACCTCCATGTAAAATTTGAAAATACAGCTTACCTCATGGGGTTGCTATGAAGATCAAGTAAAATACACATAAAATCTGCAGCACAGTTAGTGACATACTTATCAAAAAAAGCAGCTCTACGCATAAAGAGCTAAAAAAGGCCTTTTCAGCAAAGATGGCAAGAGTGGGAGAAAAAGAATCCCAAACCACTCGAGAGTGAAGAGCTTGCGGCATTAAATAAATAAAGAGCCCAAGAGAGGCCTGGAGAGAAGGAATCAAATGGAAACCAAATTCCTAGGGGTAAAGCCCAAGAGCCACAGTCAGACCAGTGGTCATTCAGACAGCAGTTTCAAACAGAGACTGAAGTAGAGAAATCAGCATCCTACACCCCAAAATTTCCATCCTTTTCAAAAATAAACAACAATGATATAGTGAGGTTCACCCCCATTATACTTTCCCTGGACTTCCCCTTTCATAATCATTATTATATTCAAAGTTATGTGCTTAGTGTCTGTATTCTGTTAAGACTGAACTCCCTGTGGACTTGTTCATCAAGATATGCTCAGAGCTTAGCTCAATGCCGAAAACATAGTGGACATTCAATAAATATCTGTGGAAAGAATGGAATACGTGTCCTATGGCTCAATTCCAATAATTCCACATTTGCAAGCCTGTAAAAGTTTTCACCAATCATTTGTGAAATATTTTAATTTTGGGACTGACAAGGTGACCAATAATCTTAAATTACGAAGAACTAGGAAAAAGAAGATATTTGAGAATAAGATTTTGGGGGAAAAAAAACACTTTAGAAACATGAAACTTCTAGTATAAATATACTTAGCTTGTGAACATTCAATAAAAAATAAATGAAAAAGCCATTAAGAGTAAGTCAAACTTTAAAGAGATCACAAATAATCTGTATGAAAATAATATCAGAAATTAAGGATGTTTATCAAATCTTTTTTAAAAGAGGAAAGTGTGCAAATTAAGAACTCAGTTCCATATAGGATGATGAAAGTAAGAAAAGTTAGTGAAAAGAACAGTAGACCCAAGCATCAAGGCCCAGAGTGCTTGTCAGCAAGAATACTGCAGGCATTTGGGGCAGCATGATCCGTTATGGAAAGGGACTGTCCTGTGCACTGTAGGATATTAGGCATCTCTAATAAATCAGTCAGGTCTCCAGTAACTGTGATAATCAAAAGAGCTCACATATTTTTAATCACTCCATTGAATGTTCTCCCCGACTCCATTCCCCCTGCCTCGCCCCACTGGCAACTATTGGCATAAAGGAAGAACATGCAAATTAAAAAAATAACAACAGGGACTGCTTGGGAAGAATTATTTTAAGTTAAGTCTATGCCAAGCAAACCAAGTTATAAAACACCCTATATTATGATTTTCTCTGTCTACAGAAACACTGTCCAGTAGAAATATAACTTGAGGCACATATGTAATTCTAAATTTTCTAGTAGTCACATTTAAAATAAAAAGAAACAGTGAAATTCATTTTAATAATGTACTTTATTTAACCCAATATGTCCTAAAATACTATTTCAATATGTAATAAATGTAAAAAATTATTGACGGTATATTGTATATTTTCTTGATACTAGTCTCTGAAATCTGATGTGCATTTTACACTTAATGGCACATCTCAATTCAGACCAGCCACATTTCAAGTGTGCAATAGCTACACACGTGGCTAGTGGCCACCATACTGGACAGCATAAGTCTAGAGCAGGGGCTGGCAAATTATGACCCCACAGGCAAATCTAGCCTACAGTCTAACTATCTAAATAAAGTTTTATTAGAACACAGCCACTCCCATTCCCTTACATATTGTCTATGGCTGCTTTTGGGGTACAAGGGCAGAGCTGAGTAATAATGACAAAGACTCTATGACCCACAGAGCCTAAAATATTTACTATCTGGCCCTTCACAGAAAGTTTGCCACCTGCTGGACCAGACTTTGTAAGAATGCCCTGTGAATGGAGAATGCCCTTGGTCCAGTCTGGGTGCTCTTTATTATACTGCCTCTCTTTCCCCAAAATGACCTTAGTGATCTACATTTGTCGGCTCCCAGAATCAGTAATACAGGCTCTTACCAGAAAGATAATCTGGCCCAGGTCACCCATGGGACGAAGATGCATGATGTCGTATCTTTCACACCGATGGGGTATGATTATCTGTGACCCCATACGTCCTAAAAAAGAATGTATTGAGACAAGGAACAATGTTAACATAATAAGGATACATTATATGACAGTGATTTGGTAAATATTTAAATTCCAGTATATGTGAATTGATACTATCCTTAACAAAAAGTGTATTTTGCCATGTTAGAGATGCCATAACTTTTCAGAGTCCCCTATTACTGTTTTAATGTGCTATATATGAAGTATGAGGAAGTATGAATGTACTCATAATGCACAGCAGACCAAAATCACATAAATCCAAGACAGAGGTTATTCGGAACACTATTAAAATGAAAAGAAACATAACTCGTGGCTTCTTGTTAGGTAACCGTGATAAATGGCATTAAAATATATTAAACTCAAGAAATCTTACTTACCAAGGTGGTTGACAACATATCGGCCCAGGAATCCTGTTGCTCCAAACACAGTGGCCACTATCCCACTGACTGAGGAACGCCCACCTTTCCCATGAGGTATGACTGCATGATGAAGCTGGCGATGGGGTGGGCCATTAAACACGGATGTGGCTACTGCAGCAATAGATGAACCTTAAACAAAAGCCCAGAATACACAAAAATGGAAAATGTTAATATAAAAGTGACTATGAATACAAATACTTTCTTTTCCTAGAAATTTGTAACATTATTTTATCAGTATTTTTATTTACATATGTTAAAGTTTAAATTTAACTTTTAAATTAAAAGTTATAATTTAAGTTCCAATAACAATAATAAACACGAATTATTGCAACAAAGACTCTGTAGGAGATAAAGAAATATATAAAAAGTATAAACTCCCTCTCCTACAGGATATAATTTGCCTAGGAAGATAAATCACATTTAAAAAAAAAACACTAATCAGTTACAAATTAAGAATATAAACCTCTACAGTGAAAGGAACTGAAAGAATGCAAAGTAAAAAACAATGAGTTAGATAATCATGAGGAAAGAGTCTGAATAAAGTGTTTTGAGAAAGGTTTTAAAGAGTAATAGCAGAAAGAATAGATTTCCATGTGAAACACTTAACACATATAACAATGTCGAGGTGGAAATGAATAAGCTCAGTGCAGGGAATAGCAAAAGACTTACCTGAAACAGACTTTGAAACTAAAAATGAATGAAAAATAAAGTTGATGGTATGAGTTTATACTAAGGGAGGCAGAAGGCTGTTAGTAGACAACTTTTTTCTTTTTTTAATTAAATTTATTGGAGTGATATTCATTAATAAGATTATATGCTTTAAGTGTACACTTCTACAATACATTATCTGTATATTTCATTGTGTGCTCACTAACCAAAGTCTAGTCTCTTTCTGTCGCCATATATTTGACTCCCTTTACCCTCTTCAACCTCCCCACACACCCCTCCCAATCTGGTAACCACCATACTGTTGTCTGCATCTACAAGGTTTTTTGTTTGTTCATTTGTTACTTTCTATTTTATAGCCCACATGAGTGAAATTATATGGTTTTTGTCCTTTTCTGACTTATTTTGCTTAGCATGATACTCCCAAGATCCATCCATGTTGTCACAAATGTTAGTATTTCATCTTTTCCTATGTCTATTACATATTCGTATCACATCTTTATCAAATCATCCATCAAAGGACACTAAGGTTGTTTTCATGTCTTGGCTATCATGAATAATGCTGCAATAAACACAGGGATACTTATATCTTTAAAAATAAATGTTTTCAAATTTTGGGGTAGCTACCCAGAAGAGGGACTGCTGGGTCATATGGCATCTCTATGCATTTTTTGAGTAACCTCCATACTGTTTTCCAGAGTGGTTGTACCAATTTACATTCCCACCAGCAATGTATGAGGGGCTCCTTCTCTACAACCTAACACTGGTTATTATTTGCCTTAATGATAACAGCTATTCTAACAGTTTTGAGGTGGTATCTCATTGTGGTTTTGATTTGCGTTTCCCTTATAGCAAGTGAAGTTGGGCATCTTTTAATATCTACTGGCAATTTATATGTTTTCCTGGGAAAAGTGTCTGTTTAGGTTCTCTGCCCATTTTTTAATTGTACAGTTGATTATTGAGTTGTATGAGTTCTTTATGTATTTTTGATATTAGCCCCTTAACAGAGATATTGTTTACAAATATCTTCTCCCATTCAGTTGGTTGCTTCTGTTTTAATGATAGTTTCTTTTGCTGTGCAGAAGCTTTTGAGTTTGAAGTAGTCCCATTCATTTATTTTTGCTTTTACTTCCCTTGCCTTTGGGGTCAAATTCATAAAATTTGAGACCAAGGTCCATAAGTTTAGTACCTATGTTTTCTTCTATATATATTTTTTTAAAGAGTGCAATTCGGACTTAATATAAAACTACTGAAAATCATCAAAAGTAGGTAGGTAAGTAAGTCTGTGTCTGTTTCCTAGGGATGACTTTCCAGTGGCACTCCTCCCAGTTTTTTCCCTATCCCAAAGTATGCATTTGGAGAAAAAGCTTAGCCTACTGAAAAGTTACTGAAACCACAGAAATTAAAAACACACATTGCACTTTACACGTAATAACTATGTATGGTGTCAGATGGGAACTAGATTTATCGAGGTGACCACCTCATAAGTTATATAAAGGTCGAATCACTATGTTGTACATCTGAAACTAATATAATATTTTATATCAAATGTAATTTTTAAAAATATTGCAGATCAGACACATAATAACAAAATAACAACATCATAATAATAGCTAAACTTACAAAGCTCTTACCAGGTGCCTGGCATTGTTCTAAGTGCTTAATAGGTATTACCTTTATTGCCACTTTACAGATAAGGAAACTAAGGCTTGGAGTGGTTAAGTAACTAGCCTAAAGAGCTAGCAAAGGAGACTGAAAAGCAGCCCAGTGAGGTTAAGGGGGGCGGGGGAGGGAGGTATCCGAAAACGAAATTTAAAAAGTGACTGACGGAGAATACAGTAGTCCCTCTTATGCTCAGGAAATACGTTCCAGGATTTCCAGTGAAGGCCTGAAACCGTGGGTAGTACCGAACCCTATATATACTACTATGTTTTTACCTATATATATATATACATTTTCATTTACAGGAGGCATTTTTATGGCTTCTCTTCAGTATATCCAAATTCCCAGCATCACTACTCTTGCTCTTTGGGGACATTAAGCAAAATAAGTGTTACTTTGAACACAAGCACTGCAAAACTGACAGTCGATGTGATAGCCAAGATGGCTACTAAATGACAAACAAGCAGGTAGTGCATACAGCACAGATACAGTGGACAAAGGGATGATTCCCATTCCAGGCAGAACGGAGTGGGAGGGTGCAAGATTTCATCACACTACTTGAAATGGCGTGCAATTTAAAACTTGTGAATTGTTTATTACTGGAATTTTCCATTTAATATTTTCAGACTGCAGCTGACCACAGGTAACTGAAACCATGGAAAGTGAAACTGCAGATGGGAGGGGACTACTGAAGTTAACTCTATAACTCATCAAATGCTGCAGAAAAGTGAGGTAGGGTGAGAACAAAGGACCATAGGATCTAGAATATGTTAGCTGTAAATGGTCTTAACAAGAGCAATTTTATTGGAATAGTGGGAATGAAAGCCTGACTGGGACAAGCAAAAGAATGAGAGGCAAGAAAGTGGTAAGAGGAGTACCGATAATCTTTTGAGGAGGTATGATGTAAGGGGGTAAAGAAATATGGGACTAGAGTAACATGAAGACAAGGGATTTTTTTTTTATGAGACATTATATTGACATAATAACAGAATAACCTAGTAAAAAAGAAAATTAATGACTCAGGAGAGTAAGTGAATAGGTAAGAGAGGATAAGATCGAATGCAAAATAAAGAAACTGGTCTTAGAGCAGAAGGACCTCATCTACTGTAATAGGAAGGAAGGTGGAGAATTTTTGTAGGTCAGCTATTAGATTTTTATGCTGAGAAAATGAGATTGTTCTCATCTGATTCTTTTTTTTTTTAATTTAAGCGGGGCAACCCTTGGTTGATCTCACAGATTGCAAGGACCTTGTCGTCTTACAATCCCTTATTTTTTTATTTTTTATGCCTACAGTATCTAGTCTTCCTAGGTGATCTCCCAACCAAGTACTAACCAAGCCCAACCCTGCTTAGCTTTCATCTGATTCTTTTGATTTCTCTGTACAGCTGAGAACGAGACAGAAGCATATATTAAAAGTTTTAAGAGATTGACAATGTTAAATAATTGTTACGGAGAAAGAGAAAGCAAAGTTCCTAGGAAAATATGCTGAAAATCTACTTTGTAGTCTACCGAAAATCTACTTTGAGATTTGTATTTATGAATTTAAAATAAGGCCAGTCAGTTAGTTTGGAGTCTTCCCTACTTCAATTCTCCACTGCTCAGGGGCAGCCAGGAAATAGAAGGAAAATTTGGCTTAATCAGTATAGTTTTTTTTTTCCCAACAACAAAAGCAGATAGGCTGGGGAGTTGAGAATGTATGAAAGGGAATGATTAAAATGATGAGTAAGGAAGAAAGTGAGGGCACAGGATAAAAGACAGAGCCAATAAAATGGGAGCAATTACTGAAGTCAAAGAATTAATACCTCAAAGAATTGTTATGAGGATTAGAGTAAATGTACATAAAGCATTTAGCACATTATCACACACATTAAGCATTCCATGAATAATAGTTGCTTTCATTTATTACTACTTCAAAATTCCTCAGAAGGTAATATTATACTAACCTCACATGGTTGTTTTTTCCAACAATTATGGGCAAAGCACTATTCTAGAAACTGTGACTAGCACAGTAAAAAAGACAAAGTCCCTGGCCTCATGGAGCTAACATTTGAGAGGGCTGATGTAAGAATTAGTAATACATAGGTAAGTACTCGTCACAGTGCCTTACTCACAGTAGGTGCTCGATAAATATGTCATTACCTTCTTTGGCTCCAGTCTCTCAATTTTCTTCCATTTATTATAAACATCATTAGGAGAGTAATATTATTTATTCTTTATATTCCTCTGCTCAAAAAGTTACACTGGTTTCCTACTGTAGTATCTAAACCAGTAGTCTCCAAACATATTTGCTTGCACACTATTTATTTATAAATTACATACATGTTCTACGTAGTACCAACCTGTTTTACACATTATAAAACATACTTAGAATAGTGTACATAGTTTGAAGGACTTGTTAGCTATTGTTATTACAGAAAACTTTTTTTTTTAAGCTCTAATACTGTATTTTTGTATCTCATTATTACCTCTTGCAAAACCCACTTTGGAAGCCACTGGTCTACACTCTGTTCGGTTTTCAAAGGCCTCTATTATCTGATCCCATTCCAGATCTATAGGTAGTCATTTCACTGCATCCTAAGTACTTCATGATTCCATTTTCACTCCCTTGTCCTCGCCAGTGACAGGAAAATGTCTAATCTCTCTGACTTTCCAGATCATAACAACCCCCCTCCAAAAAAAAAACAGTGGAAGCACAATTCTTCACTAGTCTTCTAATTTTCTCTTACTACTTCAAATGATATCAATCTTTCATTTTTCTGATTTCCTATGGTACTTAATAGTCTCTCCATATTTCACTATATCTAATTGTTTTACAGTTCTGTTTTATAGTGTCTTGATTATGTTACACACTAGACTTGCCTCTCCAGCGTTTTTACTCAAAAGCTAACTTTACCAGAGACAGTTAAAAATAAACATATCTAGAACTGTGGTTAGCAGATAGCTGGTACTCAATAGCAGTTATTACCATTCACAGTCTACATTATGTCAAAGCAATGTAATCATTTAACAAGTATCAGTAAATGTCTGCAAAGAAATCATGGCTACAAAACCATCAACTATAAATGATGTGCACTAAGAACCTTCCCGGTGGTATGTAGGAGCTAGTGCTACCCCAAATGGAAAATAAAAATGGATTCTCCAAATACTTTTGACTCTCACCTCAAGCTGAACACTAGAACTGTGGAGATTTTCAAAATTTACGGTGCAAGGAGCCACTCTCAAAAATTCTGATTCAATAGCTCTGCAATGAGTTCCCATTTCTATTTTTTATAAAAGCTCTAAGAATGACATGCAGCTAATTTTGAAAAAAAAGATATTCTATAATGACTAAAACACACTATGGAAAAATACTACTTTTGGAGGTTGATTGGGGTGTGTTTGTGAAAGGGTAGAGAATCAAAGAATAATGATGAGGTGTAACTATTAAACTACCTTGTTTTTCTAGCCTTAGTGAATGGAAGAGCAAATATACGTTTTCAATTTGAAGACCAAGATAGTAGCTCCAGTAAGAACAGGCGGCTAAATGAAAAACGCTTGAACAAATCCTAATATGTCCTTTACTCTTCTTCCCTTTCCTTTCCATCAAGCTCATTTCACTGCATCCTTCTCTCTCTCTGAGCATCCCTCGCTACCTCAGGCTCCAGCGCCTCGATCTAACATACTCTACGTTTGTAGAGATGCTTTTGATTTAGAAAGTGCTTTTAAAAATACTACTTCATTTAATCTTTTCATAAACTCCCTGGCGTTGTGGTATTATCATTTCCATTGAAACAGGAAGGATCTTAAGAGACCGATTGAAGGTTTGCACAAGGTCGTAAAGTCAATCCATGAAGAATCTTCTCTCCATTATCCTGTCTTCCACTCCGCCCTCACACAAATTTCTCGTAACCCCAAACTCTTACAACGCTGTAAGAAATCTGATTTTCTCGATCCTTTACACGTTCCCCACTTCTTCCTCTTCCCTTCCCGTTGCTCACGTTCTCCCAGTGCAGATCCCTTCCCAAGAACACAATTTAATATGTGAGCTGGGAAAGAAAGGAGAAACCTTACAGAGAGGCAGCTCCAGACCTAGAAAAACAATGGTGTTCACGGAGTCCGCATGACCGCTGCAGCACGGCTCCACTCCTCAAGTTTCGATCCCCGTCTCGGAATCCCGATCTGGGGCCAGTATTCCCGGTGACACTTACGTGACATTGGCAGGGCCCAGAGAACCCGGGGGTGAACGGCAGCCGCCATTTTCTCCCACAATCCCCCACAGCTGGCTCTCAGACCGACTACGGATACTAGGCTGGGTCAAAAGTGACCTTCCACGCCTGTCTGCGCAGGCGCCAACTGGGAATGAAAAGGGGCAGATAAGATTGGGGTGGAGTGTAGTAAAAAGGAGAGCTAGGGTGAGAGAGAGCGATAATGGAGGAAACGTGGAGAGGGGAAAGAGGGAAATAAAAGAACTCCTGAGGTTGGAATCTCCGATCTCTGATTATAGAATGGACCATAAAGATAGTCTCATTGCCGAGTAACCTGAAGTTCAGACTCAACCAGTGACTGACTCAAGGGCATACAAAATTGCAGAATCCGAAATCAGCTTTCCTGACAGTTCATTGTTCCCTGAAAGTGTCAGATAGGGAAGCCATGGTGAGACAGGGAGAAGGTGGAGGCGTGGCTCTTGAACTCCAAAAGTTCTTTAAGCAGAGAACCAGAGTCCAAGGGAGAGATTGGACAAGAAAAGAGTGGAGTGGGGACCCAGAGACTAAAAGTGAGGAAGAGAAATGGAAATGAGGATATACACGTTCTCCTTGCCGACACACGTTCTTTACCCCGAGCCGTTGCTCTTGCTTTTCCTTTTTCCCTATAGCATGCTCACGCAGATAGCACCAGCTCGTCTCTGCTCTCAGGTGACCTCAGAGAAGACTCTGACATCGTATCCAACCAAGGTGGTCGTCATTTTCATGTTTTATTATTATTTATCAACGCACTTATCACCACCTGATGTATGAATCTATAAATTCTTAACCTGGAGTGCGATTCATGAGTGGACTTCAGGAAGTCTGTGAATCTCCTGAAATGTTATGTAAAATTTAGGGGACATGTGTGCCCTCTGCACATTTTTCTAGGAAGAAATTCAAGATGCTCTCTCTAGAGCAATAGTTTGTATTTTTTTTTTTTTTTTTTTTTACTTTAACTGGACTCCTTTGGGAATCTGCTTGTTTTAGAAAGAGGTATTTAGAGCCTCAGGAGATTCCAGAAAGATTAGACTAAACACATTTTTATTTTTTAAATTTTAATATTTATTGTTATTTATGCCTATAGCACTTGGTCTTCCTAGGTGGTCTCCCATCCAAGTACTAACCAGGCTCTACCCTACTTAGCTTAGGAGATCAGACATCAGGCTTGTTCTGGGTGGCATGGCTAGAGACCATACCAGGACCTTCTGTGTATAAAGCAGACTTGCTAACTGCTGCACTATGGAACCATGTCCTAGACCAAACACATTTTCAAATAATTTAATCTGGTCACCCTCTCAATGTCCCTGAGTTGGAGCTAGCAACCAGCAACCTGTCCTGAGATATATACCTTGGACTTAGCAGAAAACAAACAAGGGGATCTTTCTAGACTTGATAATCCTTTCATGCTTTGTTTTTTCAGGAAGAAAGAGAGCACTGCTGGGTTTGACAAAAGACCTGTAGTGAGTAGAGGTTGCCTGTTATTAGTCTTATAAGATTGGTTGTTCCCACTGTACATCACCCCTTCTGTTTACTGAAATGTCACCTCCCAAACTGAATTAGAAAGTAAGATTGGTTGTTCCCACTGTACATCACCCCTATTTACTGAAATGTCACCTCCCAAACTGAATTAGAAAAGAAACTCTTAACGAAATTTTATCAGAGAAATTGACTAATGTTATTCTGTCTTATATTTCTTGGCCTCAACCTATATTCAGTCAGCACTTAAAATCTGGTAATATTTGCCTCTGGAGTCAATATGAATGTAAGTGTACTTTCCTGATACCAATAAATTAACAGACCCCTATTATCATCAGCAACCTCCTAACACCATATAACATTGCCAATTATGTTATATTACATCTCAAAGTCCAACACTGCCCCATATTCTAAATACTAGTTTCAAGGTGACATGATATAGTTGAGAGAACACTAACTTAAAATTCAGACCATTAGATCCCAGTTATCAGTTGTGACCTGGGCAATCTTCTATACCTGTCTAACAGGGAAAATAATATTTGCCCTGTTACCTCAAAAGGTTATTGTGAGGATCAGATGACATGATGGATATGTGCTTTGTCAGCTACAAAGTGCTATATGTGTGTATATACAGTTTTATTCAAATACCTATGAAATATCAAAATCATAGAATGTTAGAACTTGAAGAGATTGTAGAAGATCAAAAAGCCCAATTTCTTTATTTTAAAGATGAAGAAACTAACACCTGATATAAAAGATCATAAGGGATAAATAATATTGTTGAAAGAAGCATGTAATAAACCAGTCAGTCACTTTTGAATTCATTAGCAATTTTAATTCTTATCTTGTGGCCTTGATCAGAAATTCTTTTTGCTTCACAGAAACTATGTATGTGTCCTATACTTAATCAAGAGTACCTAAGATAACATTTCCAAAGTGAATGTACTACTAATAAAGTCCTCAAGCCTAGAAATTGCCAACCAAATGCCTTTTGGTCTGATTTATCCCACTACAATTCCTCAGGTGGAGGCATTGAAGAGGACAGAGTAGTGCTACTGAATCTCTGACTATCTAAGATGAATTTTAACCTAGACAAGTCAATTTAGGCAAAATATCCCCAAATTAATTTTTTTACAAAAGGCAAGATTTTTTTAATGAAAAAGTCCAAGCTGGATCCCATAAAGTGAAGTGATTCCATGGGCTTTGCATAAAAAATTTAGTAGACTTCTCAAATTCTTTCAATTCTTATTTCTGCATCCATCTGGATTTGTCAACGCATAATACTTACTCTGCTGTTTTAAGTAGAATCCATTGGCAAAATTTCTCATCTCATATTCCCTACATAAATCAGACACTTACAGGAGACAATTAATCAGGTAATTAATTGTCTAAGCATCAGAGCCTTGGAGTGTACCTCTCCTCCTACCCCCTCCATCCTTTGATGACTCAATTTCTGGTAGCTGCACTACTGTTGCTATAGAGACAGTGATATCACCAGTTGTGATTCTGATGTCACTCACCAGTCCCAACAAGGGAGAGGTACATGGAAGGCTGGGTGAGGAAACAAGATCTCGAGCTGAGCAAGAACATCCCAGCATCTTCGTTGACTTTAAAACTATATTCTGGAGTTTTCTGTGGTCACTATCCCAGTACTACAGAGGTAGGAAATCCCACTGGTCTGATAAAACAGCCCATTTTCTGATCCTCTGGTTAAAAGGGAGAATTTAGTGACAAGTGATAGGTCTCTTTGCCCAGTCAATTTTAATTTTACATCAGAGTCTTCTGAAAATATATGAGCCTCTCCTTCAGCAGCATTACAGCTAAACCTACTATCTTTGTTGCTGAAGTTTTCATTTCGTTGCAGACTGACCAGACCTCTTTGGTCATTCTTTTGCCAGCATGAGGAGGTCTTTGTCTCTGCTTCTCAGTTTGGCAATGAGACTGGAAGCTGACTACCTGCTGACTTCTCCTCTTTGTTATGTGGCTATTCCAAAAGTTCTTTTCTTTCCAATACTCTAATAGTAAAATCAGACCGGTATAACTTATTTCTGAAGCCTTGGCTAGACAACAGAACTGAGAAAAGACAGGGTATATAGATAACTGTGTTGAGAAAGTATCTGTATTAATGGGGCACTAGAGGAAGAAGCTATTACTAGAGGGAAAGTGAACATAGAGGAGAGCCACTGGAAAGCTAAACAATGAATAGTACCACAGAGATAGATACAACACACACGCACACACACACACACTACCAATCCTATTTAAACAAAATCAATTGAAACTGATTTTGGATGTCTACAATTTATCAGACACTTAGAGAAAGGGAGAGAGAGAAAAAGAGAATGGATGTAATAGAATACATTCTTCTTTTTTTAAAATAGTAATAAAACTTGGTTGAATAAACTTCAAAACTTGATCAGATATGTATCAATCTTGCAATAACTTTCTTTATGCCACCTGTAATTTGAGCTTTTCTATGAGTTTAGGAACCTTGAGTAAATAGGAGCCTCTTGCTTTTGATGAATACAGGAGAAAAATGTCTTGAGATGGAGCTGTGGTCTGGAGTACAGCATCTATAACCAAACCTCTGTATTGTTTATGCCCTCCTTGGCTGGCATTCATGATTTGCAGTCCTCCTCAATTATTGAAGTAATAATCACACTGGCATTTTTAAGGAACATTTTAAGTCAGTCCTTCTAGTGGTTGGAGAATCTTTCTATTGGCCAAAGAAAATTTTCACAGCCTCCCGGATATTAACCTGCAGAACTGTAATATTTGAAAGAATATATTCACTGGTTTTACTATTCCCTCTTTGTGCCTCAATTTCCTAATCTGTAAAATGAGGAAGTTAGAATAAATGGTTTCTAATGTTGATTTATCTTAACCTGTATGTGATTAGCTTCTTTCTTCACCAAACTTAGTAGATAATGAAAAGCATCCTTTTTCTCTCTTTATTTTCCACCCTAACCAAGGATATTAGTAACCAGCTTTGAAGTTAAGAAATTTATGAAACCATTCATTGGCTCCATTAAATTCTTTAGATTTTTCTTTTTTCTATTTTCTTATGAGAAATGTATAGAGATTTAGAAGTCTGAATATCATTATCCTCAAAAGATATTTAAGTACCTCTTTGTACTTACTATTATCCAGAACAACTTAGGAAGCTTAAAGTCTAAAACAAGCTTCATAGATGCAGATAAACATGCAAAAGACATTGAAAATAGAATACAAACATTAGGACATATGTAAACGGAGTGCTTGTTAGATACATATGACTAGTAAGTGTACTTTCTGTTGCTGAAAAAGGAACAAGAGCACTTCTGAAATGTTGATGTTATTGGTATAAGAAGGTCTGTTAATAAATCAATGGATAAGTATTTACACCTTGGAAAAGCCTCTAGGGTGAACTTATCCCCCAAAGGAGTCAAGCTTCAAAAAAGCTTGAATGTATGGCTTAGAACCATAGTAGACTTGAGCAACCCATTTTTT